GACCTGGAACTCACTATATAGACCAGGCTGGCCTTGATCTCACAGAGATCCGTCTGCCTCCTGAGTGCTGGATTAAAGGTAGGCGACATAATGGAGTTTTATTCATCAGTGAATGATGATGTTATGTCATGTGCAGGAAAATTGATGGAACTGGAAATTGTGTTAAGCAAATAACCCAAAATGAGAAAAACTAATGGCATGTGTTTTCTGTCATATGCAGTCTATATTTAGAAAGTATATGCATATATACTATGAAAGTAGGTGGGGGTTATGCTATGACAGAAATGAGTAAAGTTAGGGGAAGGTGGCTAAGAGGGAAATAGCAAACACTACATGTTTTCTCTTGTGAAATAGATTTGAACACGTAAAGAGATGAAAGCATAAAGGAGACTAGAGGGACAGAAGGCACCGACTGTGGGGGCCAGTGGGATGAAGTGTAATACAGGGTACAGTATACACAGACGAAAACGTCACAGTCCAACCCATCATTCTGTATGTAACTAAGCATTTCTAAAGTGAATATAATGGGTTTTAGAGAAGGCTCAGTGGTTAAGAGCACTGGCTGTTGTTACAGAAGACCCAGGTTCGAATCCTGGAACCCACATTTTGATCAACTACTCTCTGTAACTCCAGTTACAGAGGATCCAGTGACCTCTGAGGGTACTGTACAACACAGGTGCATGTACATGCTTGCAGGCGTAACACTTGTACACATACAATAAAAATAAATTTTAAAAAAGGGGAATATAACAAAGTCCATCTGTGCTCAGTCATCTCTGAAAATGTCTTTCTCACCTGCATTGTCAAACACATCCCTTGTAGTCTATTTTACTCCTTTATTGCAGTGTTATTGTGTGAAGTGAGCCCTGACACAAGTCCTTTGTTGGTCCAGTGACTTGGACAGTGCCTGTAGATGCAAGTCTTTGTATTGAAACAGTGTTTTAATACATTTAATGAGTCTTCAGTGTAGACGGGGAAGGAATAGTACTTTGGACCTTCCTTGTGCTTTACTAGAAATTTCAAAATAAGTCTTGTCTTTCATGTTTTATTAAATTGTGCTATGTTCTCTAGGTGTCATTCTTAGAGGTCCCACTGGAGTAATGTTATTTTTAACTTTTTTCTTTGTTAAAAGATTTTATTTCACTTTTATTGTTTAAGGGGCTTCAGTTTAGGTTTTACTTTGTCAGTATGTATACATCAGTCTTGAAAACGAATTCTGAGTTTTCAGTGTTAATGTTACTCAAACACAAGTGCTTTTGCTATTTAGTTCTTAAAGTCTCAGTGGGTTTTGATCTTTTTTCTCTTTCTTCCACTTCCCTCAGCAGCTGCTATAGTTTAGGGACTAAATTGGTTGGATAAGTAAGGACATTTTAGAATTTAATGTCTAGGAAAATACTTAATTTTTACAGGTACTGCTGATGACCCATTAGCTGATATTTCTGAAGTCTTAAACACAGATGATGACATTCTTGGAATCATCTCAGATGATCTTGCAAAATCAGTTGATCATTCAGGTATACATGACCACTGCCTGATTTCTGTTCTGTGACTTGAGAGATGTATGAATGTGGAACACGTTTAGTCTTTAGTCTTTTCCCCAGAAACGAAAGTGGGTTTGTTGTTTTGTTTGTTTGTTTGACTTTTTTTGACTGTGGCAAAGAAGTCAATATTTGACCCCTGGCTTTCCGGCTGCAGCTGGTTAATTTTGGTGCCTTTCTCATTGTGTCAGATTTAAGGCATGCTGCCTTCAAAGTCTTGCTGCACTTTGTTTCTTTTTGTGTGTTTCCCTCCCCTGCAGCTTCTGTGGTAATCATCCAATTTATTTGGTTTGGGTCTTGTAGGTCTTGATTTATGCACTTTCCAGGTTGGGAGCTCACCTTTCCCTTTTGGTAAGAATTGAGCACTGGATAACCGCTGCCTAGAAGTAGTCTCTTAGTGGTTTCAGCCGGACCAGCTGTGGGTGCATGCATGTTTATTAGTAGTGCTGATGTGTTACTAATCCTTACTTTGCTTTTCCCTTGCTGTGTGCAGCTAAAGCATAGTGCTTCCCATGACTTTCTTAATAATTTAAATGAATGTTTTTTCTTATATATTATATAATATATAATTCACAACGTTATACTTGAATGTTAGTTTCTAATACAAGATTAAATAAAAGCAGACTAAAATTTGTCTTAAGACTAATTTTTTTTATGTTTGAACCACAGGATGTTTAAATGTGATGGATATGTTATATTTTCATAATTTAACTGTAAAATAGTTAAAGAAATAATTTATAATGGAAATTATTCACAAAACGTTTATTAAGCCCAAATAGTGAATTCACAGCTTTAAATGAATTTATATTGAACTTTCCACTCTCGATCCACACGTTGCATATGATACTGCTGGCTGCATTCCAAGTTACAGCAGGCCTTCATGTAGTGGCTTCTCGGAGCTCTGATTTTAATATAGCTTAAAGTTTTCAGGCATTGCCAAGTTGAAATCAGGTGCAGTCATGTGTTCTTCAGGAAGTGTGTTCAGTCCCACTAATAGACAACTTTAAATGCCATCAAAACTTACAAATGCATTATGCCTAATTTTTATTAATGAACTATCCAAATTGCTACCAGAATTTGGTAATTGAGAAGAGTAGGTTTCATTTTAATCCTGTTGTTGTGTATTAATGGCGTAGATGACCATTTTACTCACTTTTTCCATATTCTAGATTTACCTTTTCATTATTTATCTCGTTCTTTTAGATATTGGTCCTGTTGCTGATGATCCTTCCTCCTTGCCTCAGCCAAGTGCCAGTCAGAGTTCGAGACCACTAAATGAGGAGCAGCTAGATGGGATCCTCAGTCCTGAGCTGGACAAAATGGTCACAGATGGTAAAGCATTTGCCCTACATCTAGGCTTTCTAAAAGACCTAAGTAAATAGGACTTTAAAGATTTCTGCATGCAGATTTATGTTTTGACTTATTTTCATGATTTCTGTATTAAATGCTATTTCATATTGATATATTGAATATTGCCATTGTTAATATTTCTATTTCTTTTATCTTAGGAGCAATTCTTGGAAAGTTATATAAAATTCCAGGTATTTGTGACGTGAATTTTTTAAATAGCATTCCCCATTTAATGACTCTAATGATTTTAATGTCATTATTATTATTATTTTATTTCACAGAGCTTGGTGGAAAGGATGTCGAAGACTTGTTTACTGCTGTACTTAGTCCTGCTGCCGCTCAGCCAACTCCATTGCCACAACCTCCCCCTCCACCACAGCTACTGTCAATGCACAGTCAGGGTATGTTACTGCTTTTATAGGCACGGCTCTGTGCGTGGGGGGAGTGGACCCCGGGGGGACCTGAGGTGCCGGTTCTCAACAGATGGTGTTTTTTGAGAGCACTACCCCACCAGCTTTTATTTATTTATTTGCTTATTTATTACTTGGTGCATGAACATGTACACGCACCTGTGCAAGTGTGTGTAGGTGTGTGGTCGCATGTTTATCACAGCATGCATGTGGAGGTCAGAATAAATGTGTAGGAATCCGGTCTCTCATTCTACCTTGTGGGTCCTAGGGATTGAATTAAAGTTGTCAAATTTGACTAGAAGCACCTTTACCTGCTAAGCCATCTTACTGACCTGTTTATTTTGTTTTTGTCTTTTAAAATTTATCGTGTGTGGGGCTGGAGAGATCGCTCAGTGGTTAAGAGAACTGACTGCTCTTGCAGAGAACCCAGGTTCAATTCCCAGCACCCACATGGTGGCCAACAACCATCTGTAACTCCAGTTCCAGGGGAATTCGATGCTGTCCTCTGACCTTCATGGGCATTGCATGACACGGTGCACTTACACACATGCAGGCAATACACTCACACAAAAAATAAAAAAATAAAATAAAATATTAAAAAAATTATTTTGTGTGTGCGCGTACGCGCACACGTGATGTATATGTGGAAGACAGAGGACCACCTACAGGAGTAGGCTGTCTACTTCTACACGTGGGTTCTGGGGCTCCAGCTCAGATTGACAGGCTTGACCACTCGCAGCACCTGACCACCTGCTCCCTGTAGCCATGGCTGGCCTGGATTTGCTATGGAGACCAGGCTAGCCTTTAACTAGAGATCCACCTGCCTCTGCTTCCCGAGTCCTGGGACTAAAGGCAAGCACCACTACGCCTGTCAACAACAGACTTTTTTTGTGCTGCAGACATTTGACTAACTGAGGTAGCTCCCTAGCTCCAACATGGTTGTTTATTAACACACACACACACACACACACACACACACACACACACACACACACACACACGAGTTTTGTTTTGTTCCTTAGTGTCACATATGCAAACTGATGGGAGAAAACTCACTTTTGTTGTGATGATTGAAAAATACTATCTTCAAGCACACACCTTCCTCTGAAATTCTCTTGATGTACATGATTCACCTTGAGACTGGAGCAGACTTGCCCATTTATTGGCAGTAGGGAGATCTTAATGTGCCTGTGCCTCTCCTTTCCTAACTCGTTTTTACTCTGCTCGTTTCCTACTTAGTGACAGCTACACTCAGAGAATCTGCTCCTGATTTCCTGTCGTTTCCTCTGAGGTGAAGTCATCAAGCCTCTCCACCTACCTCCCATGCTTTTAGATTTGTAGTGTATGGCCAAATACAAATTCCTGTTTTCCTAATTAAGGTCACCTCCTTAAACTGTGACATTTTTTAAGACTGGACTCTTGCTAATCACCATACACCGTAACAGAGAGCCTATGTTCAGAGTAAATCAGTGGCCTTTGTGCATTCTGAAATTCCTGTGAAAATTTGTCTCTTTTGTTTGATAAATTTTCTTCTACCTACTTGTAACATTATGCAATGCAAAGTATAAGACTCAAGTTTTCCCTCTTTTTGGAGAATTGAAATCTGATAACCAGGAAGTAAGATCTGTAGGAGTAGATCCAAGGGGGAACGAGTGCTGCAGCTGTGGGGCCCCCAGGAAAGGGTTTGAGGGTTCTGTAGTGGTGTGTGTTTCTAATAACTGAGCATAACAATATCTCTGTATCCTGTTGATGCTTCATGACTGTGTACTGACTTGATTAATGCAACACTATCTTTATAAGGCTTATCCTTTTTATGTAAGTAATTAAATATGCAAATTTATCCATTAAAAGTTTTGTGTTTACACAGAAAATTCCATAGTGCACGTAGGGGAAATAAATGAATTTCGACCAGTTTAACTGTTAATACAAATCCTGCTTGATACTTTGTCAGATTAAACCTTTGATTTACATTTGGGTAAAACACTTGTCAGAACTGTTTCTTGTCTTAATTGTTTTCACATGCTTTTAAATGATTAGGAGCTCATGTATTTTGTAATTGAAAGTACATATTTTAGAGATTAAATCAGTTACAGATGTACCCCTTCATTAAAATCTCAGCTGTTAGAGAAATGACTTCACTGTGCATTCTCTTTTATAAAAAGGTTTTTCATTTGTTTTTTGGGTTTTTTAAAATCTTTTTGAGGCAAGGTCTCCTTGTAGCCCCCCAGCTGGCTCGGAACTCACTGTGTAGACCGGTCTGGCCTTGAATTCACAGAGATCTGCCTGCCTCTGCCTCTGAGTGCTGAGATTAAAGGCTGAACCACCAACCCTGGCTACAGAAATGTTTTGAGATGACTTTTTTATTTTTTGAGTAGATAAATGGTGATATGCAATATAAGATGAGTCAAAAGGCCGACCACCCTCCTGAAAAAATCTTAAAATTGTGTTTTGTAAGTGTACAATTGACATATAGTGAAGTATAATCCAGGTAAAGCCTTAAGAAGCACATTCCAGTGTTCATGTTTGAACTAACAGTTCTAATGTAAGCATAAAGCATGGCCATGGTTTTTATTTGTATATGACAACACTGAGGTATTCAAGAAGGACATTGTGAGTATTTTCTAGAACAGGGGAGGAGTAATTAGGTAGTGCCTAAGAAGATAAAACTACAAAGAGATACTACTGCTAGGTCATTGACATCTGTGAAAATTAGGACGAGGCTGTTAGATTTTTTCCTCCAGGCTTCCGTTAGCCAGTGGAGGCTCAACTAATGACGTGACTTGATGAGTTGTATGTTTGGTAAGATGCTTCTGGTGTCAGTGTGGAAGTCGGCTGGAAACAGTGAGTTGTGGTAATGGCGCTGAGGAGATGGCTAGTGGATAAAGCACTTGCTTTACAAGCATGAAGACAAATGGTCCAAATGCTGGCTGCCACATAAAAGTTGGGAGGGCATGGTGGCCCATCTGACCCACCTTTAATCCAAATATTTGTGAGGCTCAGAGCAAGCAGGCTGGCTACACTAGCCAGAGTTGGCAAACCCTAAGATCAACAAGAGAAACTGCCCAATAAATAATGTGGTGAGCAACTGCGAGAGATGCTTGAACAAAGCTTTGGAAATTTCAAGAAGATTGAGATGTAGTAACTAGATGTCCCTTTAGGTAAAAGCGAGGTAATTGTTCAGTTCTTTCCATGAAGTCATGAGTCAAAAATACTCCTTTTATAAGCTATTAGAACCAAGATAAATATGGTAGTATTGAAGAAAAACTGTATCTGCTCTGAAGTTAATAATGAGTCAGGTGAATTTCAGCACTCACGAGGCTCAGGCAGGACAGTTGTCAGGAGCTCAAGGCCAGCCTGGGCTTCATAATGAGATGAGTTCCAGGGTAGCATGAGCTACATGGCAAATCCCTGTCTCTAACAATCATCAAGTGAGTAATGAAGGAAAGATGGTTTACATTTTACTTCTGTATCCTTGAACAAATATTTTGACTTTTCTGGTTCTTTTCTCTTAGATGAATGTACACATAATAAGCTCTTTTATTATGAAAGTTAATATATACACAACTTTAGCACATAGTAAAGAGCCAAATGAATAGCTATTGTCACTAGGAAACATCAGTAACAGTGGTGTTACCTCAGGTATTGCCGATAGATAGCTGTGAGAGTGAGCATACTCTTACCACACTTTGCTTTTCTTTATCCTAATTACATGAAAGCTGGTAAGAGAACTCAGGTGCTCACCACCAAGGCTGACAACCCGAGTTAGAGCTATTGTTATCCACATGGTAGGAGGAGAGAACCAACTCCTACAATTTGTCCTTTGACCTCAACACTTGCACTATGTGCCCCCCCAAAATAAATAAATGTAAAAAAATAAAATAAAACTTAATTAAAACGTCAGATTTCTTAGACTTATTTCTCCTTGAAGTTGAAAACAGATGTCATGTTCTACTTCGACTAAAAGTGGAAAATTAGCCCCTTAATTCTTTTCATTAACTTGCAGTCATAATTTTTGTCAATTGTGGTATTTTGATTCTACAGTTCCAGCTTTGGCATTTAGTAGTAGTAGACTATGTCTTAGCCTGGAGTTCTCGAGACAGCATCTTGAAAACTTGTGTGTGATGAACATCAGTTTCCTCACACAAGCACTGGAGCTAGCACAGTCCTTTTGTAGAATTCAGAGGACATGGTTTACATGAAAGAATATCGTGCTAAATATGATGGGTGTGCAGCATTATGCTCGATTTTCCTTCATCTAATGATATGACAAGGTGATCAGGTTAGGAGTTCTGTAACATTATTCCAAGTATAGCCAACTCTACAACTGTATTGCCATATGTACTATTTGGTAATATGAAGCTCCTGTAATACCACCAACCTAATCATAGTTATAAAGGGTCCATAGATCAGATTATAGCCCCAAAGATAATTAAATTTAACCCGAAGGTTCTTTGGAGATACAAGAAGACATGGTGTGCTGCCACCTCTACTTCCTCACTGGCTCCCTCTCCCTTCCCCTTCCTCCTCCTCCACCTCCCCTCCCCCCACACCTTCTCTGCACACCTCCTCCCACATCTTTGCTGGAAAAAGATAGCTTATTTTAAGTGATTTCAGACTTATGGATGATCATAGTAAATATTGCAAGTGTGATAATTTGTGTAATACCTGTTTTTTAAAAATAAGGTATTTGAAGCCTGTAAATAAGCTAGAAAAAGAATTAAATGTTTTTGGAAGCCAAATTTCAAGTAATGAAAAGACAAAAGTGTGATGCACTGTTTCTGTAGCCAATATGTATTGAGCTGCACGTTCTCTCAGTTAACGCACATGACAGTGCCTCCATTTACAAACTGAAGTGAAAGTCAGGTCCACTTCTCACAAACAGCAGACGCAGAGCTGCTGTACTCTAAAACTACGAAGTGTAGTTGTAGATGGCATATTTAAAAAATGTTATAACCATGTCACCCTTTAATCAGTATTATATAGTGTAATATTGAAAAGATCCTTTTAAATAACATGGAAAGTTTTTATTTAGGAGTATTTTAGCTACTTGTTATTTATATGTATTTGGAAAGTGAACTTTTTTCTTCCCTCCCTTAAGATGTTTTTTCGCGGATGCCACTCATGAATGGCCTTATTGGACCTGGTCCTCACCTTCCACATAATTCTTTACCTCCTGGAAGTGGATTGGGAACTTTCCCTGCTATGGCACAATCCCCTTATGCTGATGCCAGGTATTTAAAATCCTTACTTTCTATGGCAACTTAAATCATACCAACCTTACCTCTACCTTGGTCTTTTAAGTATGCAGGATTGTTAGTATTAACATTTATTGTGAGTTTTGCTGAAGATCACCAAGCTTGTTACTTTCAACTATTTTGTAACAAATCTGAGAGTGTTACTTGAGCATAGCATGAGTGAAAAGTTATTTTGCTTGTGAAGTGGACATGTTTATTTTTTCCAGGGATAAAAATCCAGCATTTAATACCATTGCAAGTGATGCTAACAGCTCTTGGGCACCATCAGCTCCCACAATGGAAGGAGAAAATGATGCCATGTCAAACACACAGAGGAGCACACTCAAGTGGGAGAAAGAGGAGGCTCTGGGGGAAATGGCAACAGTAGCACCAGTTCTCTACACAAACATTAACTTCCCCAGTTTAAAGGAAGAGTTCCCTGGTAAGTCATGGATGTCTTAAGCTGTTTTACTAACATTCTTTCAAACAGCATGCCTTTTTAAAAAATGTACACGATGGAGCTCGAGAGATGGCTCAGCAGTTAAGAGCACTGGCTGCTCTTGCAGAGGACCCGGGTTCGATTCCCAGCACCCACATGGCGGCTACGAACCGTCCTTAACTCCAGTTCCAGGGGAATCCGAAGGCCTCTTCTGACCTCCACGGCATTGCGCGACACGGATACACTCACATACATGCAGGCAATACATTTATACACATAAAATAAAAATAATAAATAAAATATTTTTTAAAATGTACACTAGCTAGAAAACCTGTAGTGTCGCCCGTTTGGCTAATTGGACTGTCCGTGATGTGAAGACTCAGTGTCTAGGAACACAGTGCACCTAACCCCAGACCCTCTCTTCATTTGTATATTTCTCAGTTTTTTTCAATCAATGAAATTATTTAATTTTTTTATTTTTTGAGGCAGGTTCTTCTTGTCCCCAATTTACCTGGAACTGGTTTATGTAGACCAGGCTAGCCTCGATCTCACAAATCCGCCTGCCTCCTGAATGCTAGGATTAAAGGCTTGAGCCACCATGCCTGGCTTATCTTCTTAAATATATTTTTATTCTTTGACAATTTCATGCATTCATACAGTATGTCATTTTGGTTTATCTGCATCATATGTGCATAATAATGCATGACTCTAATCCCAACACTTGGGAGGCAGAGGCAGAGGCATCACTGTGAATTTGAGGCTAACCTGAGTTGCATAGGGAGACCAAAAAAGTGTGTGTGTGTGTGTGTGTGTGTGTGTGTGTGTGTGTGTATTTGTCTTACTATGTATTGTTCAAAGAAGTTAACACTATAGGTTGAGAGCACCGAGAACCAGGAGTAGTTCATTCCTATTTTGGATATTTACATATACTTAATGAAATTATCATGGGGTTATCTTAGACATGGAATACAAGTCCAGAAACAAATTTCATTTGTGTTTCATCTGCACCTAATGAACGTAGCCTGAAAGATAATTTTATATTGTGTGGTAACCACTTGTTTTACCTGAGACCAGATCACTACTTGTAGTGTCATGTTGGTACTCAAAATCTTTAGAAAATATAGACCATTTCAGATTTTTGATTGTCCATTGTGTTTACTTGATTTGTGCTTCTTCACAGCACGGTTCTTTAGTCATTTTTCTACAGCACCTTGGTGTCACACCTCTGATGTGTGCTGTTCTCTTGCAGATTGGACTACTCGAGTGAAGCAGATTGCTAAGCTGTGGAGAAAAGCAAGCTCTCAGGAAAGGTCACCATACGTGGTACTTAAAATAATTCCTGTGTTTTAAGTTTTTAAGCACAATATTTGAAACTTTTATTATCTTAGGTGATAAAAAGACTTTCCATTGCAGAAAATGCTTGTAAGTAATTGTAATACTAACAGGCCACTTCATTTTTAACTTTTTAAAACCTTTTAATTTTTATTATTTTATATGTATGAGAGTATTGCCTGCATGTGTGTAAGTGTACCTGTGTTGTGCAATGCCCACAGAGGTCAGAAGAGGGTGTCAGATCCCCCTGGAACTGAAGTTATGAACAGTTGTTAGCTGCCGTGTGGGTGCTGGTAGCATGCACTGTGAGGAAGGTAGGTAGTGGTAGCATGCACTGTGAGGAAGGTAGGTTCTTGTGTAGGTCCTTTCTTAGCAGAGACTGTCATTTCAAGGATAATTTTTCAACTATTCAAGGCAGATTTTACTTTTATTTCTTGAAAACATTGGTACATAGTTCTTTTTTTTTTCTTTTTGTCAAAGCAAAAAGCAAGAGATAACAGAGCTGCTTTACGCATTAATAAAGTCCAGATGTCAAATGATTCCATGAAAAGACAGCAACAGCAAGACAGCATTGATCCCAGCTCTCGCATGGACGCAGACCTTTTTAAAGATCCTTTAAAGCAAAGAGAATCAGAGCATGAACAGGAGTGGAAATTTAGACAGGTATTGGGTTTTTGAATGATTTTGTTTTTAAAAACTGCTTTTTTGGTTAGAGAGGTATTTATATCACTTCAAAATTTAGCTACTAATTGAACATGAAAATATGAATTAATGCTTTCCCTTGAAATATGTTCAAATTTGCTTTAGAAATTTATTGAAGCAAATAATTTGTTGTCCTATGCATAAATTTGGGCTACTATGATGAAGAATCTTTTGTTGTTATTGTTAGTAATTAGTAATCTAATTATGGAAGCAATCTTACATCAGATTTTGTGTTGCCATTTCATCCCCTTTATGGTTATTTTTCCTCATGTTCTTTCTTTCCTCTCTTAACAGCAAATGCGTCAGAAGAGTAAGCAACAGGCTAAGATTGAAGCCACACAGAAGCTGGAGCAGGTGAAGAATGAGCAGCAGCAGCAGCAGCAGCAGCAGCAGCAGCAGCAGCAGCAACAGCAGCAGCAGCAGCAGCAGCTGCAAGGTTCTCAGCACCTTTTAGTACCTTCTGGTTCAGATACTCCAAGTAGTGGAGCACAGAGTCCCTTGACACCTCAGCCTGGCAATGGAAATGTGTCTCCTGCCCAGACATTCCATAAAGACCTATTCTCCAAACAGCTACCCAGTGCCCCTGCTTCTACACCTTCAGATGATGTGTTTGTCAAGCCACAACCTCCACCCCCTCCTGCAACGCCATGCCGGATACCCCTTCAGGAAAGTCTTTCCCAGTCTCAAACGTCTCAGCCACCTTCTCCACAAGTGTTTTCACCAGGATCTTCTAATTCCCGACCACCATCTCCAATGGATCCTTATGCAAAAATGGTTGGTACCCCTAGACCACCTTCTGGTGGCCATAGTTTTCCCAGAAGAAATTCCGTTACACCAGTGGAAAACTGTGTGCCTTTACCATCAGTTCCTAGGCCCATTCAGATGAATGAGACCACAGCCAGTAGGCCATCCCCAGCCAGAGACTTGTGTTCTTCCTCCATGACAAACAGTGACCCCTATGCAAAGCCTCCTGATACACCTAGGCCCATGATGACAGACCAGTTCCCCAAACCTTTTAGCCTTCCTAGGTCTCCCATAGTTTCAGAACAAACAACAAAAGGTCCTCTAGCAGGTGGAACCAGTGATCACTTTACTAAACCATCTCCTAGGGTAGATGCATTTCAGAGGCAACGGATATCTGACCCATACTCACGACCATTGTTGACACCTGCCCCAGTTGATATTGGGCCTGGACCTTTTAAGACCCCACTGCACCCTCCTCCATCTCAGGATCCTTATGGATCAGTATCACAGGCATCAAGACGAGCATCTGTTGACCCTTATGAAAGGCCTTCCTTGACTCCAAGACCTGTAGATCCTTTTTCTCATAGTCAGGCAAGTGATCCATACAGCCAGTCTCCCCTAACTCCACATTCAGCGATGAATGACTCTTTTACCCATTCATCAAGGGCCTTTTCTCAGCCTGGAACCATATCAAGGACAGCATCTCAGGACCCATACTCTCAACCCCCAGGAACTCCACGCCCTGTTATAGATTCTTATTCCCAACCCTCAGGAACAGCTCGGTCCAATCCAGATCCTTATTCTCAACCTCCTGGTACTCCCCGGCCTACCACTATTGATCCGTATAGTCAGCAGCCGCCAACCCCCAGGCTTTCTCCACAGACAGACATGTTTGTTACTTCTTCAACAAATCAGAGACACTCTGATCCATATGCTCACCATCCTGGAACCCCAAGACCTGGAATTTCTGTTTCCTATTCTCAGTCACCAGCAACACCAAGGCCAAGGACTTCAGAGGGTTTTACCAGGTCCTCAGGTGCAAGACCAACCCTCCTGCCAAACCAGGATCCTTTTCTGCAAGGAGCACAAAACCGAGCACCAACTTTATCTGGCCCTTTGGTGAGGCCAAGTGATACATGTTCCCAGACACCAAGGCCACCTGGAACTGGCCTTCCAGACACATTCAGCCGTGCTTCCCCATCTGCTGCTCGTGATCCCTATGATCAGCCTCCAATGACTCCAAGGCCCCAGTCTGACTCTTTTGGGACTAGTCAAGCTGTCCACGATATTGCTGACCATCCAGGGTCTGGGTCAGAGGGAAGCTTCAGCACATCTTCAAGCCTTCCTGTTAATTCCCAAGGCCAGCAGTTCTCTAGTGTCTCCCAGCTTCCTGGATCTGTCACAACTTCAGGAGGAACTGATACACAGAACACTATGACTATGTCTCAAGCAGACACAGAGAAACTAAGACAGGTAAATACTGCATGTCTTCAGATGTTTTAAATGTAGTGGTTTTGAAGCTGCTCAAGAAGTCAAATAGTATTTTTTTAATTCTTTGGAGTTTGTTATATATAAGGAAAAAATGAACTGGTACAACTAGCATCAGTTGAGTTGAATTTAACCCAGATCTAATCTGATTCTTCATGAATTTGTTAGGAGATTTTTAAATACCAAACCTTTCGCTTTCATGGTGGTTATTTTGCAAAGGGAAAAAAAAAAAAAAGACCCAAATCACCAGGTGGAGGATGTGTGTGTATGTATATATGTATGTGTATGTTTAATAAGTAGTTAAATGTAACTAGTGTTTTATGATGCTATGAAGCATTTTGAAATTTTAAACATTAATGTGGTCACATAATGAAAGCATTGAGATTTCTTTTTTAAGTATTAGAAATCCCAGCAATTTTCTCTCTTCCCTTCAGCGGCAGAAGCTGCGTGAAATCATTCTCCAGCAGCAGCAGCAGAAGAAGATTGCTAGTCGCCAGGAGAAGGGGCCTCAGGATACACCAGTAGTGCCTCACCCAGTGCCCCTTCCACCCTGGCAGCCAGAGAATGTCAACCAGACTTTTACTCGACCTCCACCTCCCTATCCTGGGAACATTAGATCACCTGTTATTCCTCCACTAGTACCTAGATACCCAGTTTTCCCCAAAGATCAGCGTGGACCCTATCCTGATGTAGCTGGTATGGCGATGAGACCTCATGGATTTAGGTAATGCTTTTGATTTCCTGTCAGATTTAAATTGCTATTGGAAGAAGGAACTGGGCTAATAGTCAATATGTTGTGATAGTTTTCTATTTCTCTCACCTTTGTGAGATATACCGTTAGTAGTATTTGTAACTAAGGAAGGTTCATGGATTTCTTTCTTCCCTCCTCTACACTCTAAAATTAGTCCTTTTGTCATTTAGTATTATATACTTTAAATTACTTGTAGACCTGATGATTTACTTTATCATTCTAGTCAAACAACATCTTCAGAAATGTAGTGCCTGGGCTGGAGACATGGCTCAGCAGTTAAGAGTATTGACTGCTCTTGCAGAGGACCTGGATTCGACTCCCAGCACCCACATGGCTGCTAACAACTGTCTATAACTCCAGTTCCAGGGGATCTGATGCCTTCTTTTGACATCCACTAGCGTTGCATGACACAAATGCACTTGCACACATTCAGGCCATACACTCATACACAAAGAAAGAAATATAGTTGTTTAATTGAGAGTTGCACATTGGAGAGATACCTCCCCTTATCATCTTTGAATGATGTGGTTTGATTGCAAAATGAACTATGATGAATTATGATAATGTTTCCTTCTTTGAAGTGGCTGATAGGAAGGTCAAACCCAAACTTTATATAAGGAGAGAATTCTCTTAAAATTACTTATTTTTATTGTATGTGTATGAGTGTTTTGCCTACATGCATGTTAAGTCCACTATGTGCGTGTGGCACTGGCAGAGACTAGAAGGTATGCTGCAAACCAAACCCAGGCCCCCTGCAGAACAGCAGTACTGTTAACCACTGAACCATCTCTCTAGCTGAAGCGGAGGGGCATGTGTGTGTGTGTATAGACAGGGTCTCCCTGTAGTCCCAGCTCGTCTGGAGCTCACTAAGCAGACCAGGCTGGCCTTGAACTCGCAGAGATCCACCTGCCTCTGCCTCTGCTTCCCTAGTGCTGGGATTAGAGGTACTTATTTCCTTTTTCCTTCCACTTTAGTTGTAGTTTGTGTTCATTGCTGTTTTACTATATATATTTTTACATAGTATATGTATGTATTATTGTATGTGTGTATATGTTTTACATGTTTTTGCGTACAGGTCAATGCTAGATCACTTTTCACCTTCTTTTTTGAGTCAAGGTGTCTCACTAAGCCTAGACCCCACCAATTTTCTAAGATGCCATCTGTTCAGCCCTATTCACATCTGTTGAGCCCTAGAGATGTTCCTTTCCCCCACTCTTAATCCCACTCTCGTTACAGGTATCACAACGCCTACCTGTTTTGCATGGTGCTGGGCATCTGGACTCAGATCTGCATCTTTGATCAGTCATTACTGACTGAGCCATCTCCCTGGCTTCATGTTTCTCTCTCTCTTTTTTAATTGTATGTGTGTGCATATGTGCCCATTGCATGTACCATGGGATACACGTGGTAGTCAGAGGATAACCTTGTGGACTGGGTTCTCTCCTTCCACCTCTGCATTGGTCTGTGAGTTGACCTCAGGTTGGCAAGTTTGTGTGGCAAGTGCTATTAACACCAAGACAAACCTGCAAGCTGGTTTCATATTTTGCCTTTTATTTCTTTTAGAATGAGGCAAAAGAAAAAAGTTGTTCTAGAATATATCCATGTACTTAATCTTTACAGACAATGCCTACCCTTCTTGATCTCTCACCCCCTGTCCTCACTGCCATCGCACAAGTAGGTTAAGTGTCTTCTCATATGCTGAGGCCTGTGACTCTCTCTAGTCTAATTTCATTCTTCCCACAAATCTGCTTTCTCTGTGTTGAAAATGTAGAAAGGAATGGGCTCCTATTCAAAACTGTAGCACTTTTGTTCTTAGTTCTGTTTGTAGCTATTTCTTTGTTCATGTTAGTTGTTGGACAACGTAAACCTTTAGAGCTCAGTTTAGCACTTAGCCAGCTTGCTGTATATGGATGCTTATAAGTTCCTCCAAATGGTGATAGTTGCATTTTTGCTGTCATTGGGCTTGGCAAGTATTCATCTATAGATTAATCTAAAACTTCTTTTTCCCTTTCTCACCCTATTTCTAATTTGAATATCATTCTTAAGTATTTGCTGTTTTTGTTTTTAGATTTGGATTTCCAGGAGGTAGTCATGGTCCCATGCCAAGTCAGGACCGCTTCCATGTGCCTCCTCAGCAAATGCAAGGATCTGGAATTCCTCCACACCTAAGAAGATCAATGTCTGTGGAAATGCCCAGGCCTTCAAATAATCCACCAATGAATAATCCAGTTGGGCTTCCTCAGCATTTTCCACCACAGGGTCTGCCAGTTCAACAGCATAACATACTGGGCCAAGCCTTTATTGAATTGAGGCATAGAGCTCCTGAAGGAAGGCCACGGTTGCCCTTCACTGCTTCTCCTGGCATGGAGTCACCTTCTCATCCAAGACATGGAATCTTCATTCCCCGACCAGATTTTCCAGGCCCTAGACACACAGACCCTGTGAGACGACCTCCCCAGTGTTTACCTAATCAGCTACATGTACATCCAAGTTTAGAACAGGTACCACCATCTCAGCAAGAGCAAAGTCATCCTGCCCATCAGTCGTCTATGGTCACAAGGCATCCTTTAGGTGGTGAATTTTCTGAGGTTCCTTTGTCAGCATCTACCCCAGCTGAAGCAACATCTGATGACTTACAGATAACCAACCAGTCTTCCAATGGCTTGGAGGAAAAACTGGATTCTGATGACCCTTCCGTGAAAGAACTAGATGTTAAAGACCTTGAAGGGGTAGAAGTCAAAGACTTGGATGATGAAGATCTTGAAAATTTAAATTTAGACACAGAGGATGGCAAGGGTGATGAGCTGGATACTTTGGATAATTTGGAAACAAATGATCCTAACCTGGATGACCTCTTAAGGTCTGGGGAATTTGATATCATTGCATATACAGATCCAGAACTTGACCTGGGAGATAAAAAAAGCATGTTCAATGAGGAATTAGACCTCAGTGTTCCAATCGATGATAATCAGTGTGCTGCTGTTGATCCAAAAAAAAAGGAGCAGGAAGAGAAAACTGTTGTCCTCTCTGATGACTGTCTGCCACAGAAAAAATGCACTGCTGCCAGTGATATAAAAACCGAAGTCCTATCTCCAGATGCTGAAGAAGCAGCACAGTGCGAAGCTAAGAACAGTGACGAGAGTGAAGGTGACGGTGACGCTCCGGGTTCGCAGGCTTCTCACACAGACCCCGGTGAGGGAGAGAAGGCTTTGCTGCCTACTGACCCAGAAATGCTTGAGAAAAATGATGGAGAAAATGCTGGCCCTAGTGGCAGTGCCATTCAAGGCTCCACTCCTCTGCCTGCTCAGGATGTGATGAACTCTTGTGACATCACTGGATCAACTCCAGTCCTCTCAAGTTTACTCTCTAATGAAAAATCTGATCATTCAGACATTAGGCCTTTAGGGTCTTCCCCACCAGCTCTGCCCATCTCACCATCCAGTCTTGGGTCAAGTTTGCCTCCTACTTTAATAGCACCACCTGGCCCACTTTTGGATAATGCCATGAATTCTAATGTAACAGTAGTCCCTAGGGTAAACCATGCTTTTTCTCAGGGTATGCCCGTAAATCCAGGATTCATTCAGGGTCAGTCATCAGTGAACCACAGTTTAGGCACAGGAAAACCTACAAATCAAACTGTGCCTCTTACAAATCAGTCCAGCACCAGTGGCATATCTGGACCCCAACAGCTAATGATTCCTCAAACATTAACTCAGCAGAATAGAGAGAGACCCCTCCTTCTAGAGGAACAGCCTCTGCTTCTACAAGATCTTCTGGATCAGGAGAGGCAGGAGCAGCAGCAGCAAAGACAAATGCAAGCCATGATTCGTCAGCGGTCAGAACCGTTCTTCCCCAACATTGGTAGGAATTCCCTTGTGTCTCAAAGTATATTACTGAGGGCATCTGAGTGGTATGCAGCATGCTTGTAAGAGTTCATTAAAATTGTATTTGGAATAGAGCACTGAGAATTTTCTGTTTCTCCTGGAGCTTCAAACTGAAAGCAGGAATTAAAAATTGTTTCCAGGTCAATCAAGATCCAGACCTCATTAATTCAGCTACTTACGGTATTAATAGAAACTAGTTCTTTTAAGCCAGGCGTGGTGGCTCGCTCACTTCTTTAGTCCCAGCACTCAGGAGGCAGAGGCAGGTGGCGCTCTGTGAGTTTGAGGCCAGTCTGGTCTACATAGAAAGTTCTAGACCAGCTGGGGCCACCGAAAGACCCTGTCTCACAAAAAACAACAACAAAAAACTAGTTCTTTTTAGTTTTATCTGCTAAATGATATTACTAAATCATCTGATTTCTGAAAAGATAAATTTAAGTAAATTATGATAGAAATGAAGCTTCTTGCTGTCCTTTAGTGTATTAAGTGTTTGGCAAGTTTTTTTGTTTTGTTTTTTTTCACCGACACCTCATTCAACTTTTGTTTTACTGATTTTTAAAAAATAATAAAAACCTGCTGGGCATGGTGGCACACGCCTTTGGCAGGTGGGTCTCTATGAGATCGAGGCCAGCCTGGTTTACATAGCAAGTGCCAGGCCAGGTGGGGCTATAGGGAGACCCTGTCTCAAACAGACCAAAGATATAATAATAATAATAATAATAATAATAATAATAATAGCCCATGCAGCCAAAATGCTTCAGTGCCTCTGAGCATAAGAATTAAAATTCAGTAGGCACGTGTCCAAGGAATACTCCTAAATAAACAGAAAAGCATTGTATCCATGTGTATTACCAGTTTCAGCATATGGATTTTCCCCCACTTACATGGAAAGAGAGATTTTCTCAGTATCCTGTCAGTACTTTATCATGTTGGTGTATTCTAGAAAAATTGGTAGTTTTTTGTTTTTGTTTTCCCTTTTATAAACTAATAACTAGCTGGTTATGGTAGGGCATTTTTAATCCCAGCCCTTTGGAGGCAGAGGGCCCTGAATCTCTACATGGCCAGCTTGGTCTATGTAGGCTGCTGGGACTCTAGGGAGACACAAAACAAAACAAAAGACTGATAGCTAGTTTAGTGGAATTCCTTAGTGTTAGAAGTGACTGCGAGTTCTCATTCCTGCTGTTACATTACTAATGAAATCATTCCGATCAGCATAGTGCAAGTTTGGATGAAAGGAAATTACAGTGCCATACATTATTGTTATGATCACCTTTAGACTTGTCAGACTTGGTTTCATTTCTGAAGGACTAAAGTATTAAAGTATTGCTCCATTATGGATACTTGAGGTACAATTATTTCAAGATTAGGTTGTTGTCATCTCTGGTTTTCCATGTGATAGTTAATAAATGGTACAGTATAAGAGTCTATAAATTACATTAATGGCTTTGATATTTAAATTTACCTCTTCATGTATCTTGACCCATGAACTATGAAGTAAGTAACTTCAAAATATATTTCTTCTTTAGATTTTGATGCAATTACAGATCCTATAATGAAAGCCAAAATGGTGGCTCTTAAAGGCATCAATAAAGTTATGGCACAGAACAATCTGGGCATGCCACCAATGGTGATGAGCAGGTAAGAAGAAGTACTGTTTTTCTTCTCAGGCATGTGGATGTACATGAAAATACTACTGCTTCTTAGAAAGAACTCATAAAAACTTAAAAACCTGGGGCTGGAGAGGTGGCTCAATGGTTAGAGCACTGCCTGCTTGCAGAGGACCTGGGCTGGATTCTTAGCACCCACATGTTGGCTACATCTGCATCTGTAACTCCAGTTCCAGGGGATCCAGCTCCCTCTTCTGACCTCTGTGGACACTGCACCTACATGCAAGCAAAACACTCATACACACAAAATAAAAATAAGTAGAAAAAATTAAAATACTATGCAAATGCAGGGAATTAGCATTGATAGCATCAGGAGGATAAACACAGTAGAACATCACATACCTGTTTAAAAGGTTGACTTGGTCAGTTCAGAAACCAGAACTGGTTTAAGTGTGTGCTGTGTGCTCTTGTTAGTACGAAGAGACGTTTGAGTTGAGATGCTGAGTGGTTAAGCAAACATAAATTTAGCTCTGAAATGAAATATTCCAAGATTGACTTTGAATTAGAAAAGAAAAAGAAGCCAGGCTTGGTGGCACACAGCTTTAATCCCAGCACTTGGGAGGCAGAAGCAGGCGGATCTTTGTGAGTTCGAGGCCAGCCTGATCTGATCCACACAGTGAGTTCCAGGACAGCTGGGGCTACAGGGAGACCCTGTCTCAAAAAAGACAAAAAAAAAGAAAAGAAAAAGAGAAAATAGATAAGGGGCAAGTTTATATTAAAAATGGGATAGTTCCTAATAGTTATAACACCTAGCAGAAAAATGGTAATTATGAATTCAAGAAAGTTATTAGGGCTGAGTACTTACTATATGACCGCTAGTGGACAGTTTCTTGAATTTTATATTACAACTTCAGAGTTCCATGGCTTTTCTTTTTTTTTTTTTCTTTGTGGTCTCTGCTGTAGTACAGTCTTGTAGAACGAGAATGCTTAGGAATGGTATCTGTACACTTGTGTTTCTGACCAGCGTACTGAGTTGTTCTTGATTGTGTTGCTGTCTGTGATTTCTGTCAGGATGTCAGAACAGTAAACAGAGCCTCAGTTTAGCTGAATAATTTTGTTGAAAAAAAATTTTAAAAGGAGTGTGAATGACTGTGCAATTGAATGTAAAATCTATATAGATTTAAGATATGTGCAGTGCTTGAGAGAGTCAGTTCTTAAGAGTGGGGGCTGGAGAGATGGCTCAGCAATTAAGAACACTGGCTGTTCTTGCAGAAGACCCAGGTTCGAATCCCAGCACCCACATGGCAGCTAACAACTGTCCATAACTCCAGTTCCAGGGGATTTGACAGCCTCTTCTGTCCTCTGTGGGCATTGCACGACACGGGTGCACTTACCTACAAGCAGGCAATACATGCCTACACATAAAATAAAAATAGTAAATAAAATATTTGAAAAAAGAAAGTATAGTGCTTTTCAACTATTGAGATACTCTAGACATGATTAAGAAGCATTTTTGAGATCAAAGTAGAAATTGTGGTTTGTAATGATTTTCATTATTGAGCAATATTTATTAGCACTGTTCCTCTGTCACAGGAAAGGCTTATGGCATAAGCCTTTTTAGCATATTCTTGAACCTTTTGAAATTCTCAGAACATTTTATATATGTAAAATAAAAATAGAGAATTGAAAAAGAAATCAACTACATTTTTAAGCATAGCTATTTATATAATTATATTATGGTATATGTACTTCTTACTGCATTAACAGACATAATTTCAAGGAAAATGATATATATCCTACTGGTGATGGTTATACTGCTAATATTTAATTTGATACAGAGTTATAATAGCAGGAAATGCTAAATATTATCCAGCTTTTAGTTTAAAATCTGGGATTTAGACTCAGAGCTCTTTGCTTATCTTACATGCATTCAGCATGGCGTCTATGCCGTTAGATGTGTAGTGCTTGTCAGTCACATGGTAAATGTACTGGTGACACTCTGAATGCTTCTCAGTAGAGTAATTTGATATGTTGAATGATGGAGGACAGTGAGCGGTATTTACAGGCATAACTATTACTCATGTATTTAATCCATGTACATTACATATATATATGTGTGTGTGTATATATATATATATATATACACACACACACATATGTGTGTGACAAAGTAAATGAATCAGACCCCTGAGTAAGTCAACATATATATTCTAAGCTCTAATGCCATTTAAATCCTACTATACAATATTTGGGATATATTTTGAAATTGTGTACTGTGTATGTTTTAGTATGTTAGATATTCCATGACTCCAGAAGACAGATCTGTTTTCTTTTATCTTTTTTTCCTTTTTTTTTTTTTTTTTTAATTTTCTTTTTGAGGCAGGGTCTCTCTCTTTCCCCCGCTTGACCTGGAAAGCACTATGTAGATCAGGCTGGCTTTAACTCACAGAGATCCACCTGCCTCTGCCTCCCAAGTGCTAGGAATAAAGGCGTGAACCACCACATCCAGCCAGATCTGTTTTCATATAAGCCATTAGTACTATAGATCTATAGGCTTAATTAGAATAAATAACATTTTATAGAGGTTAGCCACCAGTTTTTTATTTGCTTTAATCATTAGAGATAGACATGAAAATGTGTGAATGTTTTAAGATAACATTTTTCTTTCAGAATACAGAAGAGCTAAGCCACCACACTTTCAGTTTTTCTGATACAGGATCTCATTCTGTAGCCCCTTCTGGCTTGGAACTCTTGCTGGCCTTGAACTTGTGACAGTCCTCCTCCCTCAGCCTCCTGTCGTGAACCACTACCATGCTAGGTTTACTAGTTCATTTTTAATAGGATTGAAACATGAAGAAATTATCTTTATTTTTTCACTGAAGCTAAATCTTCACGGTCGTTATAATAAAGGCTTTAACTTGTTTCATTTTAGGTTTTAGGGAATCCTATCCTAATTCCAACCTCTGGAATTAGTTTCGTTGGCTTCTTATACAGCCTTACTGGTGCCCATGAAGATACTTACCTAATCCTTCTGCACCTTTCCTTTTCAGTGATGTGTTTTCAGTGTGTTGATAGGGTTCTGGGGGAACTGTGGGACACCCAGAGGATGGGTTGTAATAAGTGTTCTCCATAGAGAAGCAATGCCATTCCTCTTCCCTTCCCCAGAAGAGAGCCTTGTGGGAACCAGTTTCTAAGTACCCTTCATTTGGTACTCCCTACAGATTCCCCTTCATGGGCCCATCAGTTGCTGGAGCACAGAACAGTGAAGGCCAGAGTCTGGTGCCACAAGCTGTCGCCCAGGTAATGCTCAAATCACTCAGTTATAGAGGGCGTACCGATCTATTTTTTACCCAACATGTGTCATAGTGAAGTCTTCCTGGAGTGGAGTAGGAACTCTGAAGTTCTGTAAACACAGAGAACTAAAGATATGCTGTTTAAGCAAAAGACAGATTTCTTAAAAAATTACTGAATGATTACTGTTTAATCATTATATTACCAATATAATTTGATGGTATTTAGATTCCCCTGTCCCCCACCTGCACTTTCCCTTACTGCTCCCTGCCCAGTCTAGTGTACTCCATCATATATATGTATGTATATATGTAAATTAGACCAATATATGTCTAATATGTGTCCCCAAATATCTTCAGTCTGGGTCCCTCCACTGGGGCCTGTTAACTTACCAAGAGTCCCACCCTTGAAAGAAACTGGCTCTTCCCACTCTCTGCAGTAATCACTGCCAGAAGTTCTTAGGTAAGGTTGGGGCTTCTTACCCACTTTCTGGTAAAAGACAATTTTTTCTTTTAAATTGACTGGAATTTCTGCAAAGAACTTGTCCATTTTAAAGGGAGAAAGTTACTTGGAGAGAAACTAAATGCTTTTGGGCTTCTAGTTTTATATTCACTTATTACTCTACAAAGACATTTCATATCCTGTACATAGGAATTAATCCATTATGTTTAAAATTCAAAACTGCCAGAAACATTAGGTTTGTAACATTCTCTTTAGATATATTTACTCCTTCGTGTAACTGGTTTTTGAATATTGAACACTTGTAATGTTTTAAGTGCAGATATTTATGCTGCATCCCTAGTGTCAAGCAGTGCCTGGAATAGAACTTCTTTCAAATGGTATTTCCTTTTTTTGTTTTTTTTTTTAGACTGTGTATCTGGCTAGAAGAAGCTACCTACTCTATGTTCATTTGGAATTATATAATTTTTTTCATTACAACAGCATTGACATATTCAATAAGAATTTCCAAAACTAAGTTGCATCTCCTTCAAAACTGGCTGTAAATTTTTAGATTTACAGTTGAATGAATACAGTTACACAATATTGTACTCAGTATAAACCCTATAAGACATAAAATTACATGAGGTTTTAAACTTTAAAAAAGATCTCCATTTCAGTTTTTTTACCCTGACAGTTATACTTCAGATTTGTTATGCAGATCATTTATACCTTTTTTTCTTATTCAGAGAGAAACATCTTTTGATATAGTAGAAAAGGCTTAAGCTTTGTAACAGAGTCTTTATAAATCCCCAGTTTTACTATGAATTTACTGTGCAACTTTGGGCAAGTTCTTTAACCTCTTTTTACTCATGTGTTACATCATAGACCAATTGCCCTACAGTATTATAAAAATTGAGGATAATAAATTCTGGCTTGTAAGTGTAATTTACAGTTGTTAGCTCACATGTAACAGAACTTGTCTCAACTAGGTAAATTTTTTTTCAGAATTTTATTTATCAGGTCATTGCCAGAAAATTATGAGATTATCAGTTAGTCGTTTGTGCTTAAGGCATTAGTTAGAATCATAAGACTACCATTTTTAATTAGCACATCTCCTTTTTTATTTGTGTGTTACAACATCAGTTCTTGTTATAATTATCTTTGTGCTATGCAGTGTTGTTTAGTGAATCTGGAACATGTGTTCATAAATTTGATGCCAGAAGAAACTAAGTAGGCTTCATCAAAAAGTCAGATTTTATGTGAATTTTTAGCTTAATGGTGTTGATTGTTGATTTGCTCCAGTATTATCCTTCAGATGAATAATTATTTTTCAGCTAAATCTAGAAAGTTTGCTTAAGAGGTCAAAATAAATGTTTCAAAATTAGATTGATACCCAACTAATTCAACTTGGTTTTTATAGAAAACAATTCTAAAGACGATTTAGAAAATTAGAATATTTCTTTTTCTTTTTTTTCCTTCTTTTTGAAGTATTGGTTTTTTGTTTTTTCTTTCCTCCTTGAACTGCAGTGTGGAATTAAACATATTTGTAAATTTTACTTATTTTAGGATGGCAGTATAACACATCAGATTTCTAGGCCTAATCCTCCAAATTTTGGTCCAGGCTTTGTCAGTAAGTATAAATCTAATAAGTTACCTGTTTTCTGGGGATTGCTTATTTGACTAAATTGGTGTGGTGTTCTGAATGCTGGAGTTAGTATAGGAGTGTTACTGAGAGCCCGAGAGCCTCCTCTTATCGGCAATCACTGCCCTCTGGACGTCTTTACATCCAGGCATGTATTGTCATTGCTTTTGTTCACTGTGCATGAAGAATCAGTTAGAGATAAATATTTTAATGCAGAAAAATCATCTTCCCCATTCTCCTCAACATTGCTGCTCTTTTTTATAGATTGGGCGTACCAATCTATAGCATTAAACCACTTTTTGCTTTCATGACAGTCTCCTAAGTGACAAGGACACTAAATGGGGAAAAACAAAGGGAATATATTTAGAAAGGAGTTGGGTTGCAGCATGTTGTGTAGGCCAAGTATGCAAGATGCCACTGACCCCGTCTAGCTATCCTTAGGGGTCCCAAGGTGGTTCAGCATAGTATTTAAAGTTCTCCTCAAACTGAACCTTTCTGAAATCTTCAGACTGTTTAGCTAACTTTTTTCACCATTATCTTTCATTTTGCTCACCTCTGCTCTCCTGGTTCCAGAAACCAGAAAGGCTTTCCTTGCGGTAGGTCTCGTTCTACCAGAAGCAGAACTTCTGAAACATTGTGAAAAAGCCTGTTCTTGAAAAATGCCCTTCAAATTTAGTTCACTAGATCTCAAGTTCATACCTATACTGGAACTTCTGGGTTTAGGAACAAACCCAAAGTCTGACCTTTTGAAATTCCCCTGCATTTAATTAAAACTATAATTTGAATACATATTTGTCTTAAAAACAAGTAAAGTACTATGACCAACTGGCTTTTTCTGGCTGTATTGTGCCCATTGGCTTTGGTTGGATCTTAATGTATGACAATATTCTGTTATCATTGATGTGATCCTTCTAGGATTGTGTTTATTCTTTTCTTTGTCTTCTAGTCAGTCAAAAAGATATACTCAGAATTTTTCACTACATGAGATGACCTTTTTTGGGGACTTGGCATCAATGGAGTAATGTGCCCTTAAAGAATGACAAGGGGAATATTGGCTTAAGACAAAGAGATGTGACTGGGGAGAGAGAGATCAACAGTCATAAGAGTGGAAAAGCATTTATTTGGTTAGCTGTTACCTCCCCTTATAGACATAGAAGTTGTAACGTTAATATAAGTTACCAGTGTTTCCAACTTCTATATTTCCTTTATAGAAAGCATTCTGGGCTTCATCCTGCTGTCTTATACATCTTTTTACTAGTAAGAAATAGGGGAACACCTTATAAACTATGGAAAATCAGCATGGGAAATGATCGCCCCAATCCATGCTCTGGACTTTAGTCGGATAAACCTCCTTATCTATTTAATCTGTAAAATTGAATTAGTGAAATTCACATATAACAATATGCAGTTTGTCTTATGGATTTGATCGTTTTATAGATAAAAGCATTTTATTAGGTAAAAACCTGCTTTTGAAATACTGGAGTTCCACCCCTTACAAGCGTTAAGTTAACCATGGTTCTAAGTAAGCATTCTCATCCTTTAGTTTAGTGATTTTCTACAATTTAGAATTTTGTTTGCAAATTTTCTATTAAACATTCATGATGTAACTGTACTTCCTTACAAATGGATGTGTATAACTTCTAACAGTCTTGGCCCCGTCAGAGTGTTAATACAGTTGAACCTTTTATCTCCCCCAGACGACTCTCAACGTAAGCAGTATGAGGAGTGGCTGCAGGAGACGCAGCAGCTTCTCCAGATGCAGCAGAAGTACCTGGAAGAACAGATTGGTGCACACAGAAAGTCAAAGAAGGCCCTTTCAGCAAAGCAGCGCACGGCCAAGAAGGCAGGGCGCGAGTTCCCAGAGGAGGACGCGGAACAACTCAAGCATGTTACAGAGCAGCAGAGCATGGTTCAGAAGCAGCTGGAGCAGGTAATGGACAGGCTTGTAAAATGGAAGCCCGTGCCAGTTGAGGGGCTAGTGTGGTGTGGCTTTCATTTTTAATGATGTTTAATGGCATGCAAAATTAGCATTTCTACCTCTTAGTAACCTGAAGATTTAGCTGCCCAATCCTCTCTGATGATCAGAGCATGCTTACCAAGTACCACTTAAGAGAGTGCTTCTCACAGCTCTCAATTAGACCTATTTTTATACTGTTCAATAGCCCTGATATCATTGGAGAAATTATTTCCTTTGCATCAAGGAATCAATGCACGGTGGGCATCAGGGCTACATACACTGCCTTAAAAAAAAAAAAAAAGCATCGTGCAGTGAGAGTCTGTGGCTTTACTGAAGACAAGGCACGCAGAGATCCTGCGTGTGAGTGGAAATGGGAGTGAGACCTGGCAAGGATGTGCTTGGCTTGCTCTTTGCCTTTGCTATATCCTTTGGTTCTCTGGTTTCTAGTGCAAATTCAGATAGAGCATTTGAATCATTCTTGTGCTTCTTTTTCATGGTATGTTTTTATACTTATTTCTTGATATTTTGGTCTTTAAAATCTTTGGTGTCAGGCATAGTGGTGCATGTCTTTAAACCCAGTACTCAGGAGGCAGGGGCAGGCAGATCTCTGAGTTCAAGCCCAGCCTGGTCTACATAGTGAGTTCCAGGCCAATTGGGGTTGCAGAGAGACCCTATCTCAAAAAAAAGAAGCCATTGGTAAGACCTGGAGCTGTAGCTCGGTGTCACGGTGCTTGCCTAGTATGTGTGAGACCTTAGGCTCAATCACTAGTGTCTTTAAAACATCAACAAAAAGTGAAAAAAACAAAACGGCAACAAAACACTGTATATCTTGTATAAAGGATACATTCCCCAAACAGGCAACCATTTTGCTGTTCTGAGGACTTCGGACGCAGAGGCAGGTGGATCTCTGTGAGTTCACTGCCAGCTGGGGCTACATGGAGACCCTGTTTCAAAGCCAAGAAACATTTTTTTTCTTTGAATTTTAAAAAAGTTTAAATTGTTCAAAATGAGTTCAGAACCCACTCATAATTATTTAGCTACAGAACCTTAGACATAAATGTTTATAGCAGCTTTATTCATAATCATGAAAAAACTAGAATGGGGGCTGGAGAGATGGCTCAGTGGTTAAGAACACTGGTTGTTCTTGTAGAAGACCCAGGTTCGATTCCCAGCACCCACATGGCAGCTAACAACTGTCCGTAACTCCAGTTCCAGGGGAATCCAACAACCTTTCTGTCCTCCACGGGCATTACATGACACAGGTGTACTTACCTACATGCAGGCAGTATACTCATACACATAAAATAAAAATAATGAATAAAATATTTTAGGAAAAAAAAAAAAAAAAGAAAAAACTAGAATGGTCTGGGCACCTGTAGTCCCAGCTGAAATTATAAAGGTGAACAATAGAGACCAAGGGTTAGGGAAGACAGGCAGAGGGTTTGGTTATGAAGAGGAGGCGTGAAGTTTTCTGTGTAATGGAACACTTCTGGTTATTATGATAATGGCTATAATTTCTTTCTTTTCCTTTTGTAAATTTTTTTATTGAATTTTTGTGTGATGGCAATAATTTCTGTGTATGCTAAAGTTCATAGAATTGTATATCAGAACTTCAGTTTTACCGTTGCTATTAATAATTTTTAAGGTAAAGTTATAAAGAACCCCAAATATTCATCCTAGAAAGAGACAGGAGCTTCAGAGTAGATTGGTTCAGTAGAAGTAGCAATGCTCCCCGTGTCGTGAACCCTGCAGGTGCACCCTCTGGCCTGTCTGATTAATCAATCTTGTCTATGCTTGAAGGAATTGGTCTTACTGCCATTTGACACTTCAGCTGGTAAATTTAGCCTGGCTGGGTGGCTTACCTGTTCATAGCTAGCTAGCTATTGTTATGGGCTTGGCCTCAGCTGTCCTACCTCAGGCCACAGCTACCAAAATAACATTCAACATAGTGATTATGACATTCCTATTGTTTAACAAATTAGGACTATCATAGAACTTTATGGGGTGCACGCTCTCTCTGGGCGCACTCCCAGAATGGCACTCCCCCGCCGGGCGTCTGGAGGAAAGCTGGTCTGGTCCCGCGGGCTTCTCTCTGTCTCTATGGGCCTCAGGTGTGGTATGCACGGGTATCTCAGGGTCGCTCTGGGCCCCTGGATCTCGGGGTCCCCACCACACCTGGCTAGTCGCTGGCGGGTCTGGCCACAGGCGTCTCTGGCCGCCGCGGCGGGTGCCCCGCAGGCTTTTCCCGGCGGCTCGGGTCCCGTGTCTCTGGAAGCTTCTCTGCTGCAGGAGCGTTGTCCTGCCGAAATCCTGTCCCTATTCCACCCGTGTACTCTTCCTCAGGATGCGAGGTCCACTGGCCACCTGGGCCTCACGGGAGAAGTATGAGGACAGCGAAAGCTAGGATGTCTGTAAGTCGGTCACGAGGGAGTGCTGCCCCCCGGAGAGGCTAGGTCGCCGATAGTAAGGCACAGAACTCAAGACTTGGCTTAGTCTGTGTTACAGCTTTTTTAAGTGTCTCTGCTCTCAGTAATTCAGCAGCTCTGCAACCCAGCTCTCTGTGTCACAGCTTTCTGCGACCCAGATCTCTGTGTCACAGCTTTCTGCGACCTAGCTCTCTGTGTATTAAGAGAAAACTAGGATACTTGTACCATGGGGGTAGTGGTAAAAGCTTTGGCTATTAGATGCTTTGTGAGGCATTCTATTTATATATGGAAGTGGGTTTCTGCCAGACTGCTGTCTGCCTGGAGAAATTACAGGAAGGCATGGTACCTTTCAGAGCCAAAGGCCATGTTTATGTTATGGCATTTGTGGCAGACACTTCAAAAGGAGAGACAGGAAAGATGCCAGGAAGACACCCTGCTATGAAAGGAGCCCTCAGCACATGATCCCGAGCTGCATGAGCTGTCCAGTCGTGAAGGGACTTCTACTTTGCATAACAGAGGTCTCCAACAGAACTTCTTTTCTCTTTAAAATCCTTTTCTGGGCCGGTCTTCATTGCTGGTAAATAGTCTTTTAAAATAGATACTCTTATAATGTATTTTTAGTAGTTTTTCTGCCTTTGGTATGTTGTATCTCAAGAGTGTTCTGCTGAGTAGAAGCAGTGTGATTTTGATGAAAGCTTAGTTTCTTCAAATCAATTGATAAAATCTTATTTAGGAGTTAATACAACACTTTACTTGGAAAATGGGATGTGCACATCACTACTACATAGTTGTCTATAATCCACTGTAATTGCAATAAGAAAACTAGTTAATAGAATTCGTGTGTGTATGTGCATATGTTACGTGTGCGTGCTGGGGATTGAGCCTAAAGCTTTGCACTCACCGCATGTCTTAGTTTCCTCTCATGTTGCCATGACATAATAATGTGACAAGCATTTGAGGGAGTGTCTAGTTTGGCTCGCAGTTCTAGATTACAAACCCATTATTGTGGGAAAGTCCTAACAACAGAAGCTTGAGGGAGCTGATCACATTGCCTCTCCAGTTAGTAATCAGAAATCATCAAATGTCTATTTTATCCTGACCAGGATCCTCTGCCCAGGAAATAGTCCAGCACACAATTAAGATGGATTTTCTCACCTCTATAAACAATCCAGATAATCCCCAGCAGGCATGCCTATTTCTCTGGGGAGTCTAGGCTAGCACCTACCACTGGGCTGTGTCCCTAGCAATAGTGGTATCTGTAGAAGTAGAAATAGTAGAGGTGGATCAATAGGATGGCTCAGCTGCTGAAGTAAAAGCCTGTGCCACCGAGTCTAGCAACCTGAGTTTGATCCCTTGAACACAGATGGTGTAAGGAAAGAACCAACTCTGAAAGTTGGCTTCTGACCTCTACCCGTGTGTACACATGAAATAAGCAGAAGTAATGTGTTTTTTAAATGTCAGAGAAAAGACATGAATGAACACTCTGTATGTTTGGGATGTTGTCCTGTGTGCTTTGTGTATATCTCATTGCCTCTGGTTATCGGTCTCGTGTAATTCCTCAGTTCTGACTAGTAAACTGGTTAGAAAAGACAAAAAACAGGTAGGAGTTGGCAGCAGGGTGGCACGGCAGGTGAAGTGTTTGCTGCCAAGCCCAATGGCCCGAGTTCATTCCCCAGAATTCACATAGTGGAAGGCAAGAACTACTCCAAGTTGTCCTCTGACCTCCACACACATGCTGTATAATGTTGTGTACCCACACATATACACAATTAATTTAAACAAATGCTAAACATTAATAAGAAAGGTAGGGGTTACACACTACTGGAGAAAAGACCAAACACCCTTAATTTGTAGAATATTTTCTAGCTCTCCTGGGAAATTCAAAAAGTAAGTTCAATTACTATTAATTAACAGGATTGAATATGTTAATATGAAATTTATCAAATCATTGAATGGTTTTTCTTTTTTCTTTTTGAGACAGGGAGTAGCCCCAGCTGTCCTGGAGGTCACTATGTAGACCAGGCTGGTCTTGAACTCACAGAGATCCGCCTGCCCCTGCCTCCAGAGTGCTGGGATTAAAGGCGTGCGCCACCACGCCCAGCACTCTTTTTGTCCTTTTTGAAACAGGGTTTCCCTGTAGTCCCAGATGATCTGGAACTCACTATATAGACCAGATTGGCCTCAATCTCACAGAGATCTGCCTGCCTCTGCCTCCCAAGTGCTTGGTAAAGGCGTGCACCACCACGCCTGGCTCACGTTTGAATGATTTTCTAGATGCATACATCATTTTGCATCTTTTTTTCCTAGCTTTCTAAATGAGAGCAGTCCCTCAGATAAGATGTTAATTTCAATTGATATTTTTTCCTATTGTATGGTACACCATGCAAATGTGTTTTAAGTCCATGAACTGACATTTATCATTCTATTGAGTCTAGTTAGAAACTTTAAAATATTACCTCTAAGCTTAGACAAGATTCAGAAGTTATCATTTGAGTCTTGTCATTCTCTTTAAGGGAGGATGGCTTATGTACTAATATTTTAAAATGTACAATTTTGTGTATTTAGGAAATGGAATCTTATTAAATGGTTAAAATTTTAGCTAAATGTCAGTTATTCTAACCGTGTGTATTAATATAACTTCCGTGGCACCATAACTCTTCCTGTGTACCTATGTCTTCTGTTTTATTTGGCTATTAGATATGTTTTAGTTTAAATGGAATATGACTTTAATACTTCACAAAATAACTTTGGAATGTTCATAGATATTTAATATGTAAAGAACTTTCAGATAACTATTTAGAAAACTTTTAAGCATGTGTATTTGTCTGTGTGCACACATGCACATATACATGTAACTCCCAAGCACACGTGCCACAAGTTGTGGGAGTCCCTTGCTGTCTCTACCATGTGGGTCCCAGGAGTCAAACTTAGATCATCAGTGTTTTAGTTTGGGACCTATCTTGTGGATACATGAGTAACAATTTCTTTTATTGTTCCAGATTCGTAAACAACAGAAAGAGCATGCTGAGCTGATTGAAGATTATCGGATCAAACAGCAGCAGCAGCAGCAACAGCAGCAGCAGCAGCAGCAGCAGCGTGCCTTGCCCCCTCCCATCCTCATGCAAGGTGTTCAGCCCCAGCCACCTCTGGTTCCAGGTGCCACTCCACCCACCATGAGTCAGCCTGGCTTCCCCATGGGACCGCAGCAGCTGCAACATCAGCAGCACACAGCTGTTATCTCTGGCCATACTAGCCCTGCTAGAATGCCCAGTTTACCTGGATGGCAACCTAATAGTGCTCCTGCTCACCTTCCCCTTAATCCTCCCCGGATTCAGCCCCCAATTACCCAGCTACCTATAAAAACTTGTACACCAGCCTCAGCGCCAGGGTCAAGTGCAAACCCACAGAGTGGACCACCACCACGAGTAGAATTTGATGACAACAACCCTTTTAGTGAAAGTTTTCAAGAGCGGGAGCGGAAGGAACGCTTGCGTGAACAGCAGGAAAGACAACGAATTCAACTAATGCAAGAGGTAGACAGACAGAGAATTTTGCAGCAGAGGATGGAAATGGAGCAGCATGGGCTGATGGGCTCTGAGCTAGGCAATAGGACACCGGTGTCCCAGATTCCTTTCTATGGTTCTGACAGACCTTGTGACTATTTGCAACCCCCAAGAGCCCTTCAGCAGTCTCCACAACACCAGCAGCAAATGGGGTCAGTTTTACAGCAGCAGAATGTCCAAGGGTCTGTTCATTCACCCCCCACCCAAACTTTCATGCAAACCAGTGAGCGAAGGCAGATTGGACCGCCCTCCTTTGTTCCAAACTCACCATCTGCTCCTGGTGGAAGCCCAAGCTTCCATTCTGTTAAGCAAGGGCCTGGAAGTCTTTCTGGGACCGGCTTCCAGCAGTCCTCACTGAGGCCTCCATTTGCCCCTGTCTTACCAGGAACACCTGTAGCAAATGGCAGTCTCCCATGTGGCCAAGAGCCTGCTGTAACCCATGGACAGGATTGTCCAGGATCGGGCCAGTCCCTCATTCAGCTGTACTCTGATGTAATCCCAGAAGAAAGGGGGAGAAAGAGAAGAACGAGGAAAAAGAAAAAAGATGAGGATGCGGAACCCACCAGAGCACCGTCAACCCCCCACTCAGACGTGACTGCACCCCTCACTCCAGGGGCCTCAGAAACTACCTCCACTCCTACAGTGAACATGGCCAATGAGCTTCCTCAGCAAGGGGAGCAAGAGGCAGTGGAGCCGCTGGGCCCATCAGCTCCCAGTATGGCAGAAGACCAACTATATGCAGAATTAGAAAACAAACTTCCCATCACTGAATCCACAGAAGAAACCCCAAATCAACAGACGCATGCTAATTCAGAGGCAGATCAGCCCTCCATGGAAGCCACTGCCAAAAATGAAGAGATAAAACTGGAAAAGGCTGAGCCAGAGCCACCCCCAGGTCAGGAGGAAACCAACTTGGAAGAAAAAACTGGTAATAAGGTAGAAGGTTCTCTGGGTGGTCCCATCTCCTTGGCCCAGAGTCCTCCCCGTCCTGCAGGAGCTCCCGTCACCAAAGTAGATACAGGGAACGAGCTGCTGAAACACCTATTGAAAAATAAGAAGGCCTCTTCCGTTGTAAATCAGAGACCTGAGGGCACTTTCTCTTCAGACGACAGCTCTGCAAAGGATAGTAAACTGCTTGAGAAGCAGAACCCGGCGGAAGGGTTGGTAAGTGTCGTGAGGACTACAGCCCACCTTTGTTTTAAACGAGACTCATAATAGATTAGTACCACTTCTTACTCTAAAGAATCATTCATTTTTTATTTTGTATCTATGTCCACGGAGCCCATGTTTTTACATACATCCACAAAATATATAAATAATTTGCTTTTGTATTAAAACCAGTGAAATACTGTAATTGATAGCACATGCCTTTGAGCTGGGTATCACAGCTGAGCTGCACTAAAGCCAAGGAAGCAAGTGTGGACCTGTAAGTGCATAATTTCCATTAGCCTCTTTGAGTTTAGAAAGTAGCTCTGTTAGCATCCTGGAGAACACTTATTGGGAAACCATTGGGTCATATTAATAATGTTATGCAAATACAATCATAAAGGTAGATTTATTTCATCTTTGTAGTTTTCTACATATTAACTGTTCCACCCATTTTAAGTGTTAACATTGGATTTGCTTTGCTTTTCATTTGTATGAAGTATTCAATTTTAAGTACACCTTTATAGGCGCCCTCTCCCCTCTTTCTTAGCTCAGTGAACTTCATGAAGATGCTTCAGAAGCTGGAGTTTCTGAGCCCTGGGAATGGGTCTGTCTCACAGCTTCTGCAGCTGTCTCTTTCCTAAAGCAGAGATCATGGTTACTGTGTTCTACAGCTTTCCCTAGCTAGGGTACTCTCCCTAGGGTACTCTCAGCTTGGAGTTTTATCACTTTCACCTTTTAATTGAAATAGAATAGTGTGTTTTGTCCAAAACTGCATTTGCTAGTGTGGGCAGTACTCTTTTTTCTCTCCGTTCTCTTTGACCATTTAGTAGAGACTGAGCATTGACTCGGCAGATGTAATTTTTGTCAGTTGTGTGGTTGTACTTTAAATTTTTTTTCTTCATTCTTTGAAGAGTCCATCCATGCATACAGTGCGTCCTGTGCTTGTGCTTTCCTTTTTAATTTTTTCCTGTGATTCTTTGAGGGTTTCATGTGTGCACACAGTGCACCTTCTGGTCCTGCTTTTCGTCTCATTTTAGTCACCAGTAAATACACCATCCCGGCCCAGTCCCTGGCCACCTTCTCCCAGGCATCTCATGCCTCTAGGAATACCGAGTGGCTTCTTCCCCAAAGGTCTGTGCCTCTCCCACCTGCGCTTCCTGTGCTGCTCTCCCTTCTTTTCTCTGTCTGGCTGGAGTCTTTTTCTGTTGTAAAACTCGGTTCTGGAATCGTTTCCAGATGGCTTCCTGAACTTGGTCAGTCTCCGGGGGTGTGGATGCTGCATGTTCACGTAGCACTTACTGTGACAGTACTCACGAGGGTGTGCAAAGGATGTGCACTGCTCTGTCAGCACTTCTGTGCTGGGTAGGAATGTTTAGTGGTACAGGGAGTGGCATGTGTCACATATGAAAAACAGACACTAGCATAACGGAATGAGTGTGAGATGTAAGCCCTTGTGATTTGAAGCAGTTGTGGTGAAGCTGTGCACAGTGGTGCCTGCTTGTAACCTCAGCACTTACAGGAGGCTGAGGAAGGACGATTGCTGCAGTTTGAAGGCCAGCCTGAGCAACATAGTAGAATCTTGACTTAAAACACAAAAATAATAAATGTATCAATTTTTTTAAAAGAGAATTGGGAAGATGGCTCACTAGTTAGTGGAAGTTGCTGTGTAATCATCAGGACTGGAATTCCGATCCCAGCACCCACAAAACAAGTCAGGCCTTCCGTAAATGCCTATAACTCCAGCCTTGAGGAATCTGGTGCCCTCTTCTGGCCTCCATGTGCAAAGGCATACATACCCATACACCACCACCCCCCCCACGCATGAATTAAAGATGTATCTAAATATTACCTTTCATTTTGGTGAGATATTTAAAGAAAATCTTTTGTGCAGAGCTGGAGAGATGGCTCAGTGGTTAAGAACACTTGCTGTTCCTCCAGAGGTTCCAAGTTCGATTCCCAGAACCCACATGGTAGCTAACAACCATCCATAACACTGGTTGCAGGGGATCCGACACCCTCTCTGGCCTCTGTGGGCATTGCATGCACATGGTACACTTTCATACATGCAGGCAATACACTCATACACATAAAATAAAATAATAAATAAAAATCTTTTGTGCTCTTCCATAATTAATATTTAAGATATAGTTATATCTGTTTTTAGGATAATTGTGAAGTAAAGTTTTTAAAGTAGCTGACTCATACATACTTAGTATGCAGTTGCCGTATTAAGTCTCTTAAAAGCCAATGACAGAATTCTTCAGCCTTTGCTACTGAAAGTGCAGTCCTTGAGGAGAAGCAGCATCCATATGGCCCGAGATGGTTTTAGAACTTACACAATCTTTGGCCCATAGTGTCCTATTAAATCAGAATGGGTCATTCAGCAAGATCCCCAGGTGCTTCTAGCGTATTGAGATTGTGCAAATGCCAGAGGTCTGCTTATACATTGTTTCTGCCATTTGAATAGGGTTGGGCCAGAGACTCTGCGTTTCTAATTAGTCCCAAGGGCTGCTGTACTGCTGTGGTGACTGCCCTTGGAGAAGCAGGGGAGGGGTTGGCAGTGTAAACCTACTTTTGTCTCCTCCCTGTATGAGCTAAGAGTGGTTTTTTTTTTGTTTTTTTTTTAATGTTTGAAAAAAATCTAAAGGAAGAGTAATAGTTTGCCACAAATGAAAATTAAATGATATTTAGATTTTTTCCGAGAATTTAAAAAGTTTTATCAGCCCATAGCCAATTTGTTTGTAAGAATTGTCTGGCTGGGGCTGGAGAGATGGCTCAGCGGTTAAGAGCACTGGCTGTTCTTGCAAAAGACCCGGGTTCGATTCCCAGCCTCATAGAGTGGCTGATAACCACCCATAACACCAGTCTCAGGGGATCCAACACACTCTTCTGGCCTCTGTGGGTACTGCATGTACATGGTGCACTTATACACACGATCAGGCAAAACACTCATATACATAAAAGAAAAAAAAATAAGAGGAAAAAAAAAAACTTCCTGGCTGCTCTTGCAGTGAAGGCTAAGACTGAGCAGCCTAGGCAGGCTACGTGGCTCCCAGACCAGAGCCATTACCCTGTTTCCCTTTATCTACAATTTTTGCATCATGTACTAAGTTACTTACAACATAAGTGGGAGCTCTCCTTTCCCATACATTCAAACACTAAACGCAGCACTGATTGCACCATGTTCAGCAGCTTTGGTTGTCTGTAGCAAACTACTCATAGTAATTTCAGAAATAAGAACCTGAAAATGATTGCTGTGCTTTGGTACTGGCACCTCCAGGTTTAGGTCAAACCCTTCCAAGGCCTGCCTTACTCTTATTCTTCTTGACCATGAAGACAAAAGGAAAAGAAAGGCTTATTTGCTGTCATTTGTGTTCTGTCCCCTTGACTTTAAGCATGTAGCCATTATTTTTTTCATTCAAATGTAGGATTTAGAGCTAGTTAGAGGGGCTAGTTAGCATCTTAACTGCTCTCTAGTGTTAGCTGTTCCCTCACCTCAGATGCGTGGCCTTTAAAGTTTTCTTGGAACCCATGAGTTACAGAGCTCAGATTTCACTAGTTCTAGTTGCTATGAGGAATGAAAAACAAATCACTAAGGCCACTGTACAGAGGCTGCCCAGCCTCTGGCCTGGGGCCTCCCTGACCCAGAAGTGGATGGTATGTGCAATGTGAGGAGCTATACTTCATTCTAATACTTAGTTGTTCTACATTTTCCTCACAGTTTGGAACTGACAGGTTTTCATATTTCAAACTATACTGAGAGCAGGGGCTCGAGGAGGAGCAGGGAAATGATTAGGACATCTAACCCCACTGTTTTATTTCCTTCCTTAACATTCGATGCCACTGGTAGAAATTCGAATCACAAGGTGGAACTGGTCTAGAATGAACTAAGAATCAAACGTGTAGGTAGTTACTTACTTCTTAACCTTTCCAATTACATTAGCAAACTTTGGGGGCTCAAATGCAAGGTGGTTTTGGATGTGGCAACAGCCAGTTGCCAAAAACAGATGGAGGAAGTGAAACCAAGAAACAGCGAAGCAAACGGACTCAGAGGACGGGGGAGAAAGCAGCACCTCGCTCAAAGAAAAGGAAAAAGGATGAAGAGGAGAAGCAGGCTGTGCACTCCAGCTCCGACTCCTTCACCCACTTGAAACAGGTGAGCTGTCAGAACAGCCCTTTGCCACTTCCAGGAGGGGAGAAAGCAAGTGCCTTCTCAGCCCTGTGCATTAATTCAAATAGAGAGCTGCAGGGTAAAGGACACCTGGACAAGGAACTAATAGGATTCCATTTGCCAGCAAACCCACACTTTATTGGCACCTGAAATGTACATTGTAGTAGATGGATTGGTAGGTGATGGTCAAGATTTATGCATATTCAGAAGGAGCAGTCTCAACACCAGGGAGCACTGTATCCCCATTTCTTGTGACTCAGGAGCCAAAGAAATATGGCCATGGACTTCATTTAAACTCCTTTTAGTCTCTGTGGTTATTACAACAGTGGGGCGTGGCCCTCCATGCCCATTGATAGTGCCTAGCCTCAGTTCTTACGCTGATGCTTCTGAGCAAAGATAAGAAGCGTATTTTTTTGGTGAGACACATGGTGGCATCTCTCTAGGGCAGATGGGAAAAAAAAAAAAATCATTTTGAAAAGAACATCCCAGAGATTCTGTAGTTTCCAGCATTTTGAATCTTGGAAATTTTTAAGTCTTATTTTTCACAAGCCTTATTTGACTTCAGGTCTTAGGAAGCCAGGAAACACTTCCATGTTTGTTAATCATGTGCATTACTTTTAAATGTGTTTTTTAATAGCAGCTCTCTCTGCTCCCTCTAATGGAACCCATCATTGGAGTGAACTTTGCGCACTTTCTTCCTTATGGCAGTGGCCAATTTAATAGTGGGAACCGACTTCTAGGAACTTTTGGCAGTGCCACCCTTGAAGGGGTTTCAGACTACTATTCTCAGTTGATCTACAAGGTATGTTTCTTAGACAGGGTGCTACCTTGCTTCTTGTTTGGAGATCTCCCCACAACTGGGGAATGTGGCTTACTTTTGCATCTATTTTGCATGTAATCTTCCAAGTTTCACTGAAACTTAGGTTCAGCTGAAAGGTTAAAATTTTCCCTGGTTTGTGTTTCAAACATGTATGTTTGAAGTCTTCTAGAGATAAGAATCCAAACAGTGGAACATACCCATCCTAGCTTCCCATGGTAAAGGAAATGCGTTTTTCCTTGTAGCCTTTGTTAACTCTTAAAATGAATTCAAATTGACAGTAAACAGTGGGAACAAAAAGTGTGGGTTAGATTTGTTTTTTAACCTTGAAAAAGGAAGTTTGAGCTTTAAATCTAATAATTTAGATGCTAATTGAAATTATGCACTAATTTCTAGGTTACTAAAATAACATGAAGCTGAATCAGGTTAATAGTATTTTTATGACAGCATCATACAACCACTTCATATCTGACTTAACGAAAAAATTATTTTGAGAAGTATTTGAGACTTAGCTCTCCTGGCGGCTCGTCTCTAACTTTTGGTTATTGTCTCTGTGCTCCCTTCTGCTCTGCGGCTCGTTCCTCATTTAGAAACCCTCAGTGACACTGCCCTTTGGCATTTCCTTACCATCTTCATGAAACCCTGTACCTCTGCAAGACTTTTAGTTTCACCTTGTACTTCATCTCTATGGTATAATTATCATAGGTGTGCACCAACATTCCTTGAGAGACTAAGCCATACTGACAAATTAGTGACACGTAAGGCCGAGAAAGATGTGTGAAAAGGAGCTGTGTCTGCTGGTACATTTGGTACCTTCAGTAATGTTTTCTCTCTTTGCTCATTTTAGAGATCTTGGACACTCCAGGTTTCCGTAGCTGAGAAACAGACTGTAGTTATAGGTTAAAGACTACAGATTCTGCATGCTCGTAGAAGTAGGACGTATCTTAGTAGAAATTAAGCAAAGGAATACTTAACCTTTCTCAACTTACTGATTCAATTTTAAAGTTGCTTTTTCATTAGTTGTTAGAATCATGAAGCTTAAAAAGAATTGCATAAAATAAGTCAGACATAGTAGAAATTGACTTCATCCTTTTAAAGCTAAGTGCTCCAGCTGGGCCAAGTAAGCAGATGGGTAATACGTCGAGTCCTAAGGCTCTGGGTGTGTTTTTGCTCTTGTGCATTTGGAAGTAGAGGGTGCGTCTCCACGGTTCCTTGTTGGCCTCACTGCTATGTGCTAAAGAGTCACAGAGTTAGGTTTTAAGCAGGGTCACTGCATATTTGCTCAGTAGCATATAATTTAAAATTTTTTGGTCTCCTGCAGCAGAATAATTTAAGTAATCCTCCAACACCCCCTGCCTCTCTTCCTCCTACACCACCTCCCATGGCTTGCCAGAAGATGGCAAATGGTTTCGCAACAACTGAAGAACTTGCTGGAAAAGCTGTGTTGGTGAACCATGAAGGTACGATAGCAGCATTCAACTCTCGCACCTCTGACTCTGCCTTTGAATGAGTGTGTGTGGTGAAGTGTGGAGAAATTGCCAAGTCCCACCTGTGTATCAGCTGAGCAGCACACTCCGGTTCTCTTTGTGTGTGTGGCAGAATGTCAAAGAACTGCAGCACCAAGTCCCACCTGTGTATCAGCTGACCCCCGCATTCTGGTTCTGTTTGGTTTTGCAGTTACCAGAACTTTAGGACCGAAGTCCTTTCAGCTGCCTTTCAGGCCTCAAGAAGACTTACTGGCTAGAGCTATTGCTCAAGGCCCAAAGACAGTGGATGTTCCAGCGTCACTTCCAACACCACCTCATAATAACCATGAGGAATTAAGGTAGCGGTTCCTTTCTTTTTAAAAAAAAGTTATTTTTAAAAATATATTTAGCATAATGTGTCTAGGAATAGAATATAAAAACACTTGAGGTATAAAATTTGGCAATGCTCTTAAATATATAGGGCATTGTTCCTATTAAAGTACAATTCATTTGTGCATTTTAAAATCTTACATAATTTAAGCAGCACACACAATGATAGTCAAATAGATCATTAAGGTAACTGAAAGCCTCCGTGCGGAGTACTTCAAAGCTATTTTGTGATTTACTGACATTTGTAGATGTCTAAAATGAAGATTAGCAGTCATAGATATGAGTGGTATTGTTGACAAGATGGTTCTGAGCTGTAGAGAGAGCTGATCACCATTTTGTATTAGTTCTTTTGCCCCCAATCTTACTATGGAGAGTCAGCTTCCCTGAGTAGGGAATCACTGCCCAGCTAGTTAGAATCTGAACGTGCTTCTTCCAAATTTGTATCTCTTCCTTGGAAAACCTATTGAACCTCTATTTGATGAGACATCCATTTAATCTAAAAGTTTCTTATTGAGAGAACTTTGAACTTTTCCAGGTTTGGAATCCAGGTCTCCTTTTTCTTTTACCTAACTGCCAGGGGTGCTGAACTGTGTATCCCAGTAGAGGAGACTACAGCTCTTCCCATACCTGTGGAAAGAAATGAGCTTGCTTGGGTTATAGTTATATATATATAAATATTTATAGCGATATATATGTGTGTGTGTATATATATGTGTGTATATATATGGAGAGAGAGAGAGAGGTAGCATAGATGTCTGCCTGGCAGCCTTTCTCAGGTCTCCTTCAGCATGAGCAGGAGAAATGGGAGATGGAAGATCCATGGCAATGTTCAGTGCTCACCCTGGTAAACTTGAGCCTTGACTGAGACAAAAATTTCCTTGCTTTGGTACTTGTGGCGCTGGTGCAGGGAGCCCCCGTGGAGTGATTGCACATTGTGATGTTTGTGTGCTCCTCTTTCAGGATGCAGGATCACTATGGTGATCGCGATACTCCTGACAGTTTTGTCCCCTCATCTTCTCCTGAGAGTGTGGTTGGGGTAGAAGTGAGAAGGTACCCAGATCTGTCGTTGGTCAAAGAGGAGCCTCCAGAGCCAGTGCCATCCCCCATCATTCCAATTCTTCCTAGCACTGCCGGGAAAAGTAAGAGCTTTTAGCCTTTCTAATTAGTCTACCAAGTTACTATTGGAAATGTTTTGATCTTAAAAGCCACGAATACTCTTTTCTTCACCCCCCACCTTTTTTTTCTCTCTCTCCTTTTTAAGGTTCAGAATCAAGAAGGAATGACATCAAATCTGAGCCAGGCACTTTATTTTTTACCTCACCTTTTGGCTCATCCCCAAATGGTCCCAGATCGGGTCTCATATCTGTAGCAATCACCCTGCACCCTACAGCTGCTGAGGTAAAACATGGAATAACTTCCAATGACTCACAGGGAAACAGATTGCAGGGTAATTGAGGTTAAGAGATAATGGTAGGGTGGAGAGCCATTGAGACCCAGGCTGCTGAGTACTGCTCATCCTGAGGCTGATCTGAGCCTGTCAAGGCAAAATACAGAGGCTGGCAGATCGATCATGTTTTCTTGTGAAGGAACATGTGCTGCAGAGAACTCTAGAGAGAGAAGCCTGTTCACAGCCGTCAGTGTGTAAGAGTTCGCCTCTGCAAAGGAGCGTCACCTAGAGTAAAAGTCCTTCACATAGCAGGTGCTGTAGCACCAAGGACTTTCTGATGAGTTTTTGAAACGCTTAAGTTTTATAAAGACATTTTGGTGGAGACCAAACTCAAAAGTATAATGGCACAGTGTTTTAGTTTTCAGAACAGAGCAGTAGCCTGCATCTGTGTACTCTGGACCTTGTCAGATTTCTGGCCAGAGCTGGAGAGAAACCCTGTGAAGTGACCCTGAAGAGGGTCAGCTCATTCCTTGTGGCTGAGTCCTGTATAGCCGCCATATACATAAATAGATAATAGTTCACTGTATCGAGATTTCCAGTGCTAGTTGGAACCCTACAGATTTCTATTTATGAAGGCATTTGTTATTGGTCCATGAAAATTATGTTTTTTATGTGACATCCTTGCATAAATGTGTCACGGAGGTCACATTATCTTAAGTGTGTTCTCTTCAGTGGCTCATTGTTGCCTTCTGGGTGGGTAACACAGTGTTTACATTTTATTTTAGAACATTAGCAGTGTTGTGGCTGCGTTTTCCGATCTTCTTCACGTTCGAATTCCTAACAGCTATGAGGTTAGTAATGCTCCAGATGTTCCATCCATGGGTTTGGTCAGTAGCCACAGAGTAAACCCAGGTTTGGAGTATCGACAGCATTTGCTTCTTCGTGGGCCTCCACCAGGATCTGCACATCCTCCCAGATTAGCGAGCTCTTACCGGCTGAAGCAGCCTAACATACCATTTCCTCCAGCAAGCAATGGTGAGCTAGTGAGCTTTTTGTTAATCCCAAATCCATTCTTGATTTGCAAGTTAAGCCTGCTCTTTTCAATATTTTGTTTTAATTTTTAACAAACAATAGGTGATATGTTGCTGTATAGTCGCTGTTAACCTTCGTTGGGTGTTTTCTGTGGTGTGATGTGACTTTCCATGCTCTGATGACATCACACTGGCAGCTAGATCAAATGCAGCTCTGTTCAGGCTGCCCTCTGCCTTGATTTGCTGACCTGTCCACAACTTCTGTTCTTTATATCCCTGAGCTGCATGCCACAGTCTGCCTGTGCTGTTAGTGCAGACAAGGTTGTAGACAACATGTACTTCCCTGTTCTCCTCCACCTTTGCTATCACTCCCTCAGTTTGCCTTTGCCACCCCTCTGCGGGGCACTTTCTGTTCACAGGGATGCCTGAGACCCCATGTCTGAGAGCCAGCCCATCCTCCTTAGGCCTGCTGTGATGTTGCTTTCCTTCCTGGAGCATTGGCATCTCATGTGCCAGCCCCATTTCCTCACTAACTCCTTACTCTCTGGTGTCCTGATAATCTTTTCTCTGTCCTCACCTTACAACAGAATCTGGTTGCTTCTCATTTTTCATCTTTTAACTCTTTGTTGAAAGTTGTCTATGTTGGAATTTTGAACTCTGCACGCTTAGTTTCTCCTGCCGCTTTGTGCTCTCACCCCCACCTGTGCTCTCTGTATAGAGCTTTGGCTCTTCTAACCCCGCAGTCCTTAGTTGCAGTTTACCTTGGCTTGGCTCTTGTTTCTTTCTGATGCCGTAAATCACACTTTTTTATCTCCAGGGGAACATTTCAGTTCACCTTGCCATCAAAGCGTGGGGATTTCCCGTCATCTCACGTGCTTGCACTTTAACTGGATATTAGTACCTCTTGACAACTTGCTTGTTTGACTCTTTCATGCTGACAGTCTTTTCTCAGCTATTTGAGAATGGACTTTTCTTTATTTATACCTGTGTCAGATAATAGATGCCTTATAGCCAAAGCTTAGAAGATTTTTATTATTAAAGAATAATCTAAACTGAATCAATAAACCATGTTGTAATTGATTGGTGCAGCGTAGTTTAATACTTTCCACTACCTGTGTCCTTGGTCAGTTTTAATTACTAACAAAAGTTGGTTACCTGTAGGACTTTCGGGATATAAGGACTGCAGTCGTGGCATTGCCGAAAGTGCAGCGCTCCGTCCACAGTGGTGTTGTCACTGCAAAGTGGTTATTCTTGGAAGTGGTGTGCGGAAGTCTTTTAAAGATCTGGCCTTTGTGAACAAGGTACCTTATGTTCTTATGACCCACTCCTTCCTCCAGAGGGAGTCCTTGGCAGTGACTCCTGCATCAGAACAGAGTCCTCCCTGGGCCATTTATGCAAGCTGTAGTGCTCAGCTTCAAACCAAATAGCCACAGCAGACTATTAAATTCTTCATGATGAGAAACACATTTTGAAATGCAGTGAGGTTTGGACAGTATAGTTTATGTATTATTTTCTATGTAGAAAATTACCATATGCTAAATACCGGAACATTGACACTCTGAAGACAGAGGACAGAGGAGCTGGTGCTGGTGCTCATACATTTCTCTTTGCTTTTCAGGATTCCCGAGAAAACACCAGGTGGCTAGAAAAGGATATTGTCTTCTGTAGTAATAACTGCTTCGTTCTTTATTCGTCTACTGCACAAGGAAAACCAGAAAACAAGGTGGGTGGTGGGTGATCTCTGACATGTCCCCGCCTCATGGGCTCCTATATGGGAAATCCTGAACGGGTGCTAATCAAGTTGGTAGACAGGCCCTAAATGTTCTTCCTGATTAAATAAGCTATTTGACAAAAGTGGACAGGTGCAAATTAAATTTTATTAAATACTTTTTTTTTTTTTCTTTTTAATTTAGTAGTACTGACAGTTGACTTTAGGGCTTAGTACATGTTACCTCACTGCTTTACCACTAAGCTATATCCCAGGCCTTCTTTTAATTTTTGTTTTTGCGATAGGTCTCACTAAACTGCCCGGGCAGGCCCTGAACTTGTAGTCCTCCCGCCTCAGCCTCTTGAGTGGCTGGGACTTTTTCTTTCATTATTTTTTTTCCTCTTTTCCACCCCTCCCCCCATTGTGTATCTGTCTATCTTGGTTTTTTGAGACAGTCTTGCTGTGTAGTCCAGGGTGACCTCCAACTCATGGTGACCCTTCTGTCTGTCATTAGTCACCAAAGTACTGGGATTACAAGTTTGTACCATCACACCCAGACTAATTACATTTTAAAAATCTAGAATTAAGTAGAATAGTGGTACCAGAATCTTGCATTTTACTAATTACAAATATCTTAATAAACATTAAAAATTTTGCTTTTTGGGGGGGGTGGCTGGAGAGGTGGCTCAGCAGATAAGAACACTGATTGTTCTTACAGAAGACAAATCCCAGCACCTACATGGCAGCTAACAACTGTCTATAACTCCAGTTCCAGGGGATTCAACAGTCTCTTTTGTCCACCGCAGGCACTGCACAACACGGGTGCACTTACCTACATGCAGGCAATACACACATACACATAAAAAAAAATAAAGAAATAAAATATTGTTAAAATTTGTTTGCTTTTTGTTGATCAATAGGAAAGCGTTATCAAAAAGAGAATTAAGTCAGTTCCTGCATTGTGAGAGAAAGCATTTTGCTCATACCCAGCTGCTTTTTTGATTTTGTACAGATTAAGCATGTCTAACTATGCAGTTGATACAAATGGTATGTTTTTAGTTGTCTTGTTTTTGGTTTTTTTGAGACAGGGTCTTCCTGTACCCCAGCTGGCTTCGCACTCGCCATATAGACCAGGCTAGCCTCATTCTTACAAAGATAACCTACCTCTGTCTTCTGAGTCCTGGGACTAAAGGCAAGTGTCACCACGCCTGACCAAATGATCAGTTTTTAATCGTGTGCTTTGAAGGAGAAATTTTCATATAAAATAATACTGTTAGTTACTACTACCTCAAGATAATTGCTTTAATATGACTTTCACAGAGCATTCAAGAAACATTTAAAATAAAATAAAATAATAAATAATAAAATAATAAAAT